CACTTAGAGGTATAAACTTCCCTCTAAGGACCGCTTTCAGCGTGTCCCAGAGGTTTTGTTGTGTTGTATTGTCCTTTTCATTTAGTTCCAGGAATACTTTTATTTCTTTCTTAATTTCTCTTTTGACCCATTCATCATTCAGGAGTGTGTTGTTTAATCTCCATGTGTTCATGTGGTGATTAGGGCATCTTCTGGTGTTGATTGTAAGCTTTATTGCATTGTGGTCTGATAGAATGCATGGAATTATTTCAGTCTTTCTGTATTTGTTGATGTTAGTTTTGTGCCCTAGTATATGGTTGATTTTGGAGAAAGTTCCATGGGGCGCTGAATAGAAAGTCTATTATTTGGTGCTTGGGTGGAATATTCAGTAGATATATTTTAGGTCCATTTGATGTGTGGTATTGTTTAAATCAGATGTCTCTTTTTTGATTCTCTGTCCTGTTGACCTGTCTAATGGAGAAAATGGGGTGTTCAAGACCCCCACTATTAATGAATTGGGATTCATCTGGGTACTGTAGTACTGTTTCTATGTAGGTGGGTGCACCAGGGTTCGGTGAATATATGTCCATGATTGTAATATCTTCTTGGTCAATTGTTCCTTTAATCAGAATGAAGTGGCCCTCTTTATCTCTTCTGATTAGTTTTAGTTTGAAGTCTATTTTGTTAGATATTAGAATTGCAACTCCTGCTTTTGTCTTAGTACCATTTGCTTGTAATATTTTTTTTCCATAGTTTCACCTTAAGGTAGTGCCTGTCCTTGAATGTGAGATGGGTTCCTTGCAAACAAGAAAAAGATAGGTTTTGTTTCTTAATCCATTCAACTAGTCTGTGTCTTTTGACTGGGGAGTTCAGTCCATTGATATTTGAAGTTATTAATGAAAGATGAGTATTGATTCCTGTTGTTTTGATTTTTGTTCACATTTTTGGTACAGCTGTGCCTTTCCACAGTTATTTCATTGAGTTTCTTTCTGTTACCCCTTGGGTATAGTCATTCCTTTCTTCCGCTCTTTGTATTGCTTCCAGAACTTTCTGAAGGGCTGGTTTCATGGACATGAATTCCTTCAGCCTATTATGTCATGAAAGATTCTTCTTTCCCCTTTTACTATAATAGACATTTTGGCTGAGTATAGTAATCTTGGTTGGCATCTGTGGTCATTTAGAACTGGGAATACTTTGGTCCAGGCTCTTCTGGCTTTCCTAGTTTGCACTGAAAAGTCAGCTGTAATTCTGATGGGTTTTCCTTTCTTTGTGACTTGTTTTTCTTTTGCAGCTTTAAGTATTGTCTCTTTGTTTTGTACATTTAGTGTCTTTACCATGATGTGCTG